CTCTCTCTCTCTCTCTCTCTCTCTCTCTCTCTCTCTCTCTCTCTCTCTCTCTCTCTCTCTCTCTCTCTCTCTCTCCACGCACACACGAATGGTTCAACCCCAACCAAACCCATGCAAATCAGAAGAACAAAACAAGAGAAATTGCATGCATACATTCGTTCATAGAATGCTACCATTCATCCCTAAAGTTAGAATCCACATACAATAAACAAAGTACAGAATGGAATTACTTAGAAACAAGAATTACAAAATTGGATCACAAACCCCTCCTGAAATGTACGCATAAACTCAAGAATGAAGCTACACTCCAGGAGAGGTGTTAAGCTCTCTCTCTATTTGGTCTATCCGTCATTTCAGGAGTGTCAGTTCTGTGAACACCAAAGTGTTAACGATCATCGGCACATTGCACAGAACTGTAGCAAACACGCATGACATACGTGAGTTACCCGCCGTAATGGAATTATATTGTACGGAACTCAAAACGTTGGAATACCCGTGGAAGACAACACGTTCGGCAATTTTGGCCTTCCTCGGATTTCTGGAAACGGAAGACAGAAAACATTGACAAAATGAAAGGTACTTAGCAAGCAGACAAAAATGAATTTAAATACAAAACCACCTTGAATTTCTGCTGAAAGATGAATCAACATGACGACCTTCTGCCGAACAAAATTCCTCAAAGAACCAAGAACCGAGATACCCAAGAATCACCCATATAAAATCATACGCAAAATCAGCAGATATAACCATATAGCAGTCGTACCTAAGAAAGAAAAAGTAATATGCGAGTCACGGAACCGTACCGACCAAATACCAAGAGTCTACTCGTTTTTCATCAAACAAACTCGTGATATTCCACCGACGGATTTAACACAATTCATTACGCCAAAATTCTCAAACACACAGGACTACAAAAAGGCATACCAAAATTGATACAAGAACAGAATTCCGAAAATCCAAGTCATGCACACAACACGGACTCCAAGGACAGATGGACAAGGACTAGGCAAGGAAACCGGAGACATTACCTGGATGCTTCATCGGATATAAGGACACAGACCTTTGTCGACGCAGAGAAGTTTCGGACATATCGCGACCAAAAGAACATCCGGACGGTAGGAGTGATCAACGGCGACGATCATACGATGATATGAGCAGACTGCAGGGACTAGGGTTCAGCCGGACAGAGAAGTATTTGGACTGAAGGTATATATACTTTTGACAGTGGCTGAAATGATTACCCGAGCAGAGAGGTAGAAGGGTAATCGCGACTGTATCTGTCCCATGCCATGGACAGGACGTATATTCTGTGAAATTAAGGCCTCGCACGTGTTGTCCAATATTACAAGTCTCTCTCTCTCTCTCTCTCTCTCTCTCTCTCTC